GGGGGGGGGCGAGGGGCGAAGCCTGTGTCGAGAATAAGGACGGAAACGAGATCAGAATGAAGTGGAAAGAGAGGCGGTTGTGGGGCGGGGCCAGCCGCACAGTCGGGCGGCCACCTCAGGAAATGGTGTGCAATGAGGCAAACAGAGAAGAAAAGCAACGGGCCGGACACACTTAATGCGTGCGGGGACCGCAGGGGCCGGCCCGCTGGCGCTGCTGCTGATGGGGGGAGGGGGCCCCGCAGGCGCCTTGTTATGTCTGCTGATCGCGACGCGGGCCGACCCAGCCAAAGGGGCGCCCGCGACAGGCACACCGCTCGAGACTTCAAAAGAAAAACACCACATGCATCACCGGTACAGCCTGGTCCCCTTGGTCTCTGATGGCGAGGATAGGAAAGAAAAATATTTAAAATGTTGATCGGTGAAATTTGAACTATATAGGCTTATAGGGGCCCTCATCCGAGACGCCACACGCCACAGCACACAGTACGTACACTGGTCAGTCCGACAACGACAAAGCCAAAAGCGCGTTTGGCCGGGCCAGGGTGCCAGAGGCGCTGCCTGCGAGGACCCTCCCTCCCACCCCACTTCAGCCTTACTTTCCCACACGATCAACTTTTGGGCCAAAACTTGAGCCAAGCACAGAAAGAGAGTGAGAGGGACAGAAGGGAAAGAGAGCAGAGTCGTGGGAGGAGGAGTTGGTAGAAAAGAGGAGGATGGATGGAGAGGGGCCATCTGGTCTGTAATGACGGAAAAAGTTGTGGTGAGTGCGCTTCATTGTGCCCTGATTTTCCGGTTCTCTCCGTCATTGTGGCTGTCCCTACTCGTCGCGCCTGAAAAAAGACTGCTGCCGTGCCCAGGATTCGAGTGGGATTATGGAAACGAACAAAAAGAAATGGCGTAAAAAGAGAAAAGAAAAGAGTAGTTGAGCATCGGGCCGACCGACGGTGCATGCAAGCAGCCGTCAAGGGGGTCGAAACCAGAAACCAGGGCATGCTGAAGGGGAGAGGGTGAGAGACAACTGTCGATGCCAACACACATCGTAGGGTGTGTGTGAGCGAAATGGCAGCCTGCAGCCTTCCATTGACATAGGCTACCCATTGTTGAGGTGCGGACCTGTTGCGTATGCCCATCTTCCCAGTGTGTTTCTGGACCTCTATAGACAAAAGCTGCGTGCCCTCTCGTACCGAGGAAGCTGAGTAGATCCATCTCGAGATTCATCTTTCAGAAAATCTAACTTCCACACTATCGATTTGCAGTGACGACTACAGCAAACGAATTCATTACTACCCAACGCAAAACTTCAAAAAACTAATATTAAAGAAAAGAAACGACTAATAATGCCCTTTAATAAATGCCTACTCTGAAGTAAGGAACAAGAAAGACCTTTTCGTTCGATAAGAAATTTTCCATCGCTATATATACACTTCTGTTGATGTCGTATGCTATACAGAGCAGCAGCTGTAGCGTAGTGAAACTTGAGGAAAGAGGTGGTGCCGCAGTGGTGCAAATAGTTTGCCCCTAATTCGGTTAGGCCGCTCGCGCATCGCCTCTCATACACCCCGCCCCCCTGACTCCCCCTTTCCCGACCGGCAGACCTCCTGCCCATGGCCTCATGGCGGCGAGGCAGAGATGAGTCCGGGTTTGCGTATTCATGAGCATTTTAAAGCAGCTGTAGAGAATTTCGTTTGTTTCAACCGCAGGCCGCCGCCACCGCTACCCATGACTCGACGCGCGGAGCTGTTTCTGCCATAACATCGCTGCGCGCAGCGCGCAGGCATTTCTACGATTGGAGTGAAAAGACTGGCGCCCTGCTCGGTAGCGCAAGGCTCATCCCCAAATCCAGAGAGGTTCAAAACAGCAAAAATCTACATAAAAAGAGACTGAATTAAAAATAATGAAAAAAAAAAAATGCGTAGGAGGAAAATGAAAGGCGCAAAAAATGAAAAGCGTAAAAGGGCGGGAAAAAAATTGTTTGTACGTCTGTCCGAGCTTGGCCGGCCGTGGCCGGCCGCCACCGCCTCTCCACCGGCCCATCCTTATCCTCCAAGATGGAGCGACCGGATTTGTGACCTAAGTCGTGGGCCATCAATCTGCGTGCGTCATTTCGCGCGCTGCACGCCGCCGGCGGGTGATTCATCGCAAAAAGACACAAACGTACTGCCAAGCCACGCCGCACCGGATGAAAAGTGAGCGCGGCTCAGCATAACAACTCTATCCTTCGTTCTCCCTTAAACCGAGACGCGGGCTCGCGAACCGGCCGGCCTGCTGCTTTCACCCTTTCTTGCCACTTATTTTCTTTTCGTGCACTCGGCTTCACCAAACGTCGTAGAGTGAAGAGTCGGCAATTAATTCATAGAAAAGTGCACCATGCACAATGTCAGCGTCCGTCGTGTGAATGCCAGGGATGCTGGTCTTGCAGCACGGGAAAAGCCGCACAGGTATAGAGTAAATAAGAAATGAGTGACCTCGGGTCAAAACTGGAGGGCATCCTGTTTATTTTGCATAGTACATTGACAAAAGGATCTATACTGGTACTGGTTTTGTGAGCCCAAATAGCAAGACGTAAATTAACGTAAGGAAACGAAAACCGTGACTCGTATGAGAACTCCACTTTGAATAATGTTCAGACGATTACTGTACTTTCATAATAACGCCACTTTTTATAGCACCTACCTGCTTCTCGAGGTTTCATTTATTTTTTCTGAAATGGGATACTAACAAAAGATAATGACAGACATATTGTCCTGCCGCCAGAGATAGAAAATGTCCTGGTATTTCCCCACTCAAGCAGCGCAAAGTAATAAGCAATGCCTGTACAGACATGGCCGCTTCATCATTTGACATCACGGCAGGCAGGGAGAGGCCGCCCGCCCTGCCCCCCCCC